GGCGCTGGCGGAGGGCAGTGCACAGCCCGTCGAAGTCTCCTGGTGCACTGACGATAACGTCCCGTACTTGGGCCGCCACGTTGGTAGGCAGATTTGCCACCAGCAGCTTGAACTTTGTGACGGGATCGGCAATGCCAGCCACGTCGAACGCACATTCCACTTGGAGCAGCCAGAGGTCCGCCTCGTCCGGGGCAAACGCCGGCAGTCTGAATGAAGCAAGCGGTCGCGCCCGCTCGTCCGATGCAGCCGTGGTGGCAGGAGTGTCGGCCGACGCAGCCTCCTGCGAGGTGTCGCCCTCCATCACGGGCATGGTGTACACGTCACCGTACCGCGCCGCGTCCCCGGACCGGCAACTCGTCTGCCCACTGCGCTCGCTGCGCTACCGTGGTCCGGGGGTTAACACTGTACACTGAGAGCCCGAGACGACGCACTGCTCCTCCCGGACCTGGCCGCTGCCCACTACGCTCGCTGCGTTACAGAGGTCCGGGAAGGCATCACAATCCGCTGGCGTGTTGATGGCGTACCCCCAGTCAGCGGCGAATCCTGCGTGCCGCGGCGAATCCTGCGTGCCTTGGGGGTCCGCGCCGCAGCGAGAGAAGGTGGAAGTCCGAAAGTGGCCGTCTGGCAGGTGAGCAGGCCAGTAGTGGTCCGTACCACAGCGGGGCCAGTGAGACGGCCAGGAGTAAGTGTCTGGCAGGTGAGTCCAGAGTCGGGTGTCACCAATGTGGCACGGCTGAGAGTAGCCGGTCGCCACTTGAACCTCTAGCAGTGTATACCGCTAGTAGTCCACCTCTCGTTGTGAGAGGGAGTGAAAGGATTGTCAAGGCAGAGACTACCATCCGCCACCGTCGGCACCACACAACTCCAAGGGAGGAGGAGACTCCCGATGTGGGCCCGTGTCGGTAGCTCTGAGCTTGACTAGGATGAACGAGTTACCGATCGTGGATCGTACTGATTTATTGAACAAAAATTGGCACACTATATTTCTAGCAAGGCTACCTTGCATAGGTAGTTTCAGCGTCTAAATGGTAATATTACAAATTCCAGTGACAGTTGGACAAAGAAAAATTACTCCACACCTGCGCTCCTAGATTACCCTCTTAAGGCGTGACAATACAACAGCTACGGTTACAAGAGATAACATATAAGGCAGAAAACAATCACAAGACATATGTGTCAATCAATCACTGACATCTGCGTGCATCAAAAGGATTTACTAGTTTACGACGCCGCCGCTGGGTTGCACACGCTACGGCGCCGTCGCTAGCAACGGAGCGCTGTTGCACCCGCTACACTAGCATCCAAATAAAATATGTCTTTCCGGGCTGATAAAATACAGCTGAATAATTTTAAACCACTGAAACTGAGTTTACAACAGTAGTTCGGTAAAATCACTGACGTTCCACGCGGTCGTGCGCCCCGAGACCAAAAGTCAACAATATTACCTCGGGACTGTCCGCGTGTTCGCTTGCATATGTCAGCATCTGGTGTCGCTAGTATGAAACTTCATAACCAGGCGAAAATTATTATACTTGACCTCAAAATGTAAAAAACGCTTCATTTTCCTTTAAATTGCATGTTAAATGTAGTATAACCCATGTTTTCACCATTCCGTCATTTTAAAAAAATCATTAAAAATATCATTCGACGGTCAATTTCCTTGTTCAACGGTCAGATTAAAGATAATTTTATAGAGATTCAGTAGATACTTAAATTAGCGTGCACTTTTTTGAGACGTGATGCACTTATGAGTTTTAGTGGGCGAACGGCCGAAAAATTACCTTCCGTTCCCGTAAATGGGAACGCCCGTTCCCATATTTGGGAACTCTGTTCCCAAAAATGGGAACGTTCCTATATTTGGGTACTCATGACCATAGTTCCACCTACTGAGTTAATTTTTATTAAAATCACATGTGTTAATTTTTTTATCTGATATCTGGGAATGTATCCCAATTGTTTAAAATAACTAGTTGTTTGCATGCTGTTTAAAAGCCGTCAGTAATATGGTTGATTCATGATCCATTGTGTTATATGGTCAGGTAAGTATTACAAGAATGTAGCTAAAACACTTTACAGCAGTCAGCACTTACCACATGTATTGGATATTGAGGATAGCCTGTGCTGTTTTTATTTAGAGAAATTTATTCATGTGCATTTTATGGTTGCCACCTGTCAGGAAATTCTCACCTGGTAGCAGTGCAGTGACAAGATATGTAGTGTTTCAGCTAAGTCATTGTTGTTTTTGGTGTGCCAACAAATTATTTCACTGAGCATAATCAAAGGAATGGTTAACCTTAAGATAAACTTTTCTTGAAGTTTGGGGTTTATCCTTATTTTAAATAGTTACTTGAGCAGCACTCCTCTGATTCACTGGGTCAGGGAAATTGGGATAGCCCCAGCTGACATTTCTCAGATGAATAAGAACAGGGCCACCAAGGGTATAACATGATAGGGACTAGGGAGCATGTGCTCCATGCAGACAATGGTGCCTTGCACTGCCAAGTTGAATACATAGAACCATAAGGTCCTTAGTGATTACACTGAACCAAAGATGACACAATTTATCATGTTGCAATGCTGTTCTTAATTTCAGGGACTGGAAAACTTCCTAACAGACGAGAATGGGAAGGAGATGAAGATTCACTTCGCCCATGGTACGACCACCCTGGCATTCAAGTACAATGGTGGAGTCATCGTCTGTGCAGACTCAAGAGCCACAGGAGGCAACTATATTGGTAAGACCTGTAAATTGCATACGTTTTTGATGGAAGAATGCTTTAATCACTCCACTCGGTGGTTTTACCTCATTTGGGTTTTATTGATCATAAACTTAGGCAGGGTTTGCCCCATTCAGCAAGCAAACAGTGTCTGCTTGAGGACAAGCATCTGCATCAACTACATGCTTGTTCACAATTTTGCAAGCCTTTCACAACACTATTTGATTTAACATATGAAAAGGTTTGGTGATATTCAAATAAAATACCTATTTCCCACATCACTGCTGACCGCTCCTTCCCGCTCGTCACGTCCTGCAGCCTCGCAGGAGGTGCGTAAGATCATCCCGATCAACGACTACCTGCTGGGCACGATGGCCGGCGGCGCGGCCGACTGCACCTACTGGGAGCGCGTGCTGGCCAAGCAGTGCCGCATCTACGAGCTGCGCAACCGCGAGCGGATCAGCGTGGCGGCCGCCTCCAAGCTGCTGGCCAACATGGTCTACAACTACAAGGGCATGGGACTCTCCATGGGTGTCATGATCGTCGGCTGGGACAAGCGCGTGAGTTCCCCCGATACGGGTGGGTGTGATCGTCTCTGTAGTTTAAGGATTCACATGATGCTGCCTTATGTTGCTAAATGCACCCATGCATTATTTTGCCATCAAAGATCATCACATTATAATTCTGCCATGAAGCACAATCCTTCATGGAACCTGACTGCCAGTAGAGTTGTGCCGTCCTTGATCTTGCTTCCACGTCCTGTCGCCGCCCACGCGCTAACACGAGTGACCCCGTGTCGATCCCCTCCATCGTCTGTTGACTGGGAGTCTCCTCTCCATTGACTATTTCTGCCATATAAAGGCAAAACATATTATGTTCGGGTGACCTCTGACCTGAGGTAATGGGCCTCTGACCCGACATAATGGTTTTTCCTTTGCACGGCAGATTTATTAGCCATGTGTACAATGGTCATATGCCATGTGTTTGCCCGTGTGTACTAAACTGTTACCGCTCGTCGGTCAGGGGCCCGGCCTGTACTACGTGGACACAGACGGCACGCGCACGCCGGGCCGCCTGTTCTCTGTCGGCTCCGGCTCGCTGTTTGCGTACGGCGTGCTGGACGCCGGCTACCGACCCGACCTGACCGACCAGGAGGCGTACGACCTGGGCCGGCGCGCCATCTACCACGCCACATACCGCGACGCAGCCTCCGGAGGCATTATCCGAGGTGAGCCGGCCGACGAGATCACGGGAGAGTTTACTGTACCCGTTACTTCCTATGTACAGTGTACACTACTGTACCACATCATCATCATCACTACTAACCACATAATCATGATAGTTAGCGATTTACGAGTAAAATCACTTTTCATGAACTTTTTTTGGTGGTCGTATTTAATCGCTGGCCTGGAAACTCGTGAGACGGTCGATTGAACATTCTCACGCTGATTGGCTGACCACGTGCATTCCCCACCACCACCAGTGTTCCACATGAAGGAGTCCGGCTGGGAGCGGATCACGGAGGAGGACTGCAAGGACCTGCACGAGCGCTACGCCGCCGAAAAACCCGAAACGTCGCGGCCCTCGGACGAGAAGTACGGCGTGCTGTGAATCCCCGCGCTGGTGGCGCCGCCCGGCGGACTGAGCGGGAAGCTGAACTTGGCTTGGCACTCACTGTGGCGCTAGCGTATTTGTGATTCAATACACTCGTGACGTTGTTTTGCGTTCTTTGAGTCTGAAAGGGGCGATTATGATGGGAAGGGTAGTGGAACATGAGATGTTTCACGACTGAAAAATTAAAGGTAATTTTTATCATCATAGTTGAGTTCTTCTCGTAGCATTGTCGCTTGTTAAAGACATATTTTAAGCCCTCATAGTATTTTGTTACGATGTTTTTAATCGCAACAATTTATGTGCGATAGTAAGCGTTTCAGCGCCTGATATAACTGCTAGGTAAAATATATCACCTGCGATCGTGCCACAGTCGAGTTGTCGCCTTACCTTTTTCAGTTACGAAGATTATTATTGGAGTGCAGAGTGTGCGTTTTTTTCGGGAATATGATGCAACAACGGTTCAAAATACTTTCTATTGAGTTTTTTTCACGGTCTTGCAATAATTTCCAAGCCGCTGCGACTAGTGCGGTTTTTGCCGTATGCTTGCATTTACACCAGCTCATGATGCTTTCCCCAGTGCGCAGTACCGGAATGAGGTCCTACTCGGTAGCTGACGTGCATCAACATTTGACATTTTCGAAAGTAAGCACGTGTTCTAAACCCATCGCGATAGGTGAATTTTTATTCCTTGCGAGTTGGTCATGTATTTCACAGATTATGGATTTTGACATTTGTGGTTAATCTATCCGAGTCTGATCGTTGTCCGGCCTCTGTAACGTTTTCTCGGCCGAGAAGGCTGGGCGCTGCTCGGTGGCCCAGCGTTCTTCTTTGCCGCAGTGCCCCCAAACAACTTCTTCCAAAGCTGTTTGTTTGAGGCTGTTTTAGAACCGAGTTTTACTTTGAACTTTCGCAACAAATGTTCATTAGATGTTACCTTGTGTTCTATTGTAAAGTCTGTTCCGTTGGTCGAGGCCTGTGTCTCGTTTGTTCTTGCCGTCGTCGTTTCATTTACCAATCGATTCGACGATTGAATTTTCTCTCGAACTAGACCGTCGTCAGTAATCGCAATCACCCGACTTTCAGCGTTGGTCCCGTTGGACTGCTTTGCAGACGTGCCATTCAACGACTGGGCTGCTCTCCGCTCTGAAAGATGAAAGATCAATGTGTGATTTATGTAAAACATTTAAAAATAGGCATACGATGCGGATAACAGCTTATTTCATACCGAAGCTAAGCTATCGTAACATGTTTCAGTAAATCTAAAACATGCTCATCATGCTCCGTCTCTCTTTCTCTTCTCTTCTCTCTCTCTCTCTCTCTCTCTCTCTCTCTCTCTCTCTCTCTCTCTCTCTCTCTCTCTCTCTCTCTCTCTCTCTCTCTCTCTCTCTCTCTCTCCTCTCTCTCTCTCTATCTCCCTCTCTCTATCTCCCTCTCTCTATCTCCCTCTCTATCTCCCTCTCTCTCTCCTCTCTCTCTCTCTCTCTCTCTCTCTCTCTCTCTCTCTCTCTCTCTCCCTCTCCCTCTCCCTCCTTCCCCCGCTCCCTTCCCTAAAATGAATATGACTCATCGTGACTCGTGCCATTTAATTATAATTATGTAGGCTAGGTTCGTTACCTGATTCGACCAATGGAGAACTATTTCGTTCCTCGGCTGTGTTTCCGGAGCTGGTACTGTTAGCTAAGGACGGCTTGGTGCTGGTGATATTCTCCGCAGCATCAGTGACCGTGTCACCAGGCAAGGTGTTGGTGAAGTTACCGACTGCACCAGGGACCGTGCTGTTGGTCGGTCCAACGGGGGACGGCATTCGACGGACGGTATTAACCGACCGTGCGTCTGAAAAATACGGGAGACGGCGGAGAACGTCATTCGAAAACGATTTCGCGGCAGCTCGTAATTGACTTGAGTCATGCACGTTGCGTACTGCACATTGCAGAATGCGCATTGCACAATGCACATAGTTATTAGCAATGCTCTTCGGGTGGTCTTTGCCCGAAATAAGTTGGCGAAAGGAAAAATTAAATTATTTGAAATGAAAGTCATATACCTTAGACCACTTTCTTTCTGAAGCAGCATTTTTAGGCCGAATGAATTCGAATGAATTCGAAAATAACAACCAATGACCACACTTTGCGTCATGCTAGGTCATTGAAAGGTCATCACTCTTTTTGCAAGCAATCTTGACATAGGTTTCTAGAGCGACGAAAGCACCTCGGCGAATTCATTATAAAAAAAAAACTGATGAACATAATGCAACGCGACCTACCCGTAGAGATATGACTTTCAACCTAGGTCAGACAAAAATATTGCCTATATTAGCGTGTTCTGAGGAAAGCGGCCTTTAGACATCAGCTGAATGCATTTTCCACTACGTCCAGGCTGACAATTGTTTAGCCACTCTTTCCAAAAAATATCAAAATTATTTTATAAATTATTTTATATTTAGTTGCATGAATATTGACTTTTTACCTGGCCCAAAAAATATACATATTTTGCGTGCCTTCTGCCTCTGACGAGCCTTCGAATCCCGCTTTCCGCTTGTGGCTTCGCTACCCAGAGGCTGAGTATTGAAGCCCTTGTTAAAGGCCGTGTTACACTGCCGAATTTTGGCCACGACTCTGTCGCCGAATCACGTCGTGTAGGAAATCGGCGAACAGTTCACCGACAGAGGCGAACAGTTCGCCGACAAAGCCCGATTTGCAGAAAACGGGTGGGGGGCCTCCCTAATCGTGCGCGGGTCGAAGCTGATCCATGGTTCGGCGAACATCGCGAATGAATGGCGAATCTGTTGCGAATAGTCGGCGATACCTTGGCAACAAGTCGGCGCACGCAGCGACATGTCGGCGGCGACTCGGCGACTGTTTGGCGACCATGTTCGTTTATTATAAGTTCGGCGAACGGCCACGAAATTTTCATTTTTCATGAAATATTCGTGGCGGTCGTGACGAACCGTAAAAGTCGCGCGGTGGACACCGACTGGTCTGCGAAATGCCAAGACCGTGGAAGAAAGATACCGAATCGGTCCGCGACATAGGATGACTTGCATATTCGTGCACATTCGTGTACCGAAATTCGGCAGTGTAACAAGGGCTTAAGCCCTTGTTACACTGCCGAATTTTGGTACACGAATGTGCACGAATATGCAAGTCATCCTATGTCGCGGACCGATTCGGGATCTTTCTTCCAATGTCTTGGCATTTCGCAGACCAGTCGTTGTCCACCGCGCGACTTTTAAGGCCGTGTTACACTGCCGAATTTTGGCCACGACCCTGTCGCCGAATCACGTCGTGTAGGAAATCGGCGAACAGTTCACCGACAGAGGCGAACAGTTCGCCGACAGAGCCCGATTTGCAGAAAACGGATGGGGGGCCCGCCTAATCGTGTGCGGGTCGAAGCTGATCCATGATTTGGCGAACATCGCGAATGAATGGCGAACCTGTTGCGAATAGTCGGCGATACCTTGGCAACAAGTCGGCGCACGCAGCGACATGTCGGCGGCGACTCGGCAAATGTTTGGCGATCATGTTCGTTTATTATAAGTTCGGCGAACGGCCACGAAATTTTCATTTTTCATGAAATATTCGTGGCGGTCGTGACGAACCGTAATGGCCCTTTCACACGTAGCAACTTTTCAGTCGCCGGCGACAGCAGCAGTCGCCGGCGACCGCCAGCGACCGCCAGCCAACGATCGTGTGTGACGTAGGTATGACGTAAGCAAGTCGGTGGCGATCGCCGGGCCACGGCCGGGCAATCGCCAGCAACTGGTGACGTCAGATCCGCGTCACAGGCCAGTCGCCGGCGGCCCCCGCCGAAGTTAGTTGGTAGCACTGCTGCTCCACGGCGTACATTTCCTACCAGCCCATAGGGTTTACATGTTAAATGGCCTGTTTTCGGCGAGCGATATCTTGGTCAACCTTTGAAGGAATCAATGGTTCTTAGTCTCAAATGATAGATCGATGAATTTTCTTTCGACAATTCCTCTACCATTTTTCACGAAACCCAGCCGATCTTCTACGGCGTACAGGGTAAAGATTTCTCTGCACGCCAGCACCAGCGATCCGCCTCTCCGATCGTCGTCGCGCGGTCCTCGGTAGCGCAGTCGGTAGCGTATCGGGCTACGGATCCGAGGGTCGTGGGTTCGAATCCTGGGAGCGCCGTGTGATTTCGGCTAGAATTGAATGATGTACAATCTTGAATGTTTGCGCAATCAATTATTAATAGCTAATTGAATGTATCTGCGCACTAATCGGCCCCTAAGACCTGTTATTTAAGAAATTTAAGACATGAATGTCACGTGCGCGTCACGACTGCCAACCATAAGCGCTACCATATTCTAGTTTGAACTAACTTTTTGCTAGTCCCGACCACATATAGTAGGTTTTCTAGTAGTTATACTAGAAATTCCTACCAAAGTTCGTCCTACCCTTCACTCAATATACCCTGAGTCGCCGGCGACTCTTCTCGAGCAGCGGACGCCGCCATGACAGTTTTGTCCTTGGTGAGTGGTTTAGGTGATTTGTGATGCATTTTTTTTCCTAAATTGGTTGGTGTGGCTACCTTAAATTTGTTGCACAGTAGCATAGGGATTATTATCTTGTAGTTTGCCTGTCGTGAAGCTGTTGTGACTTGAATTTAAGCTTGATTCGACAATATTGGAGGGTTTATGTCATTTGTGGCGCTCTTGCCCATGATCACCCATGATTTTTATTTGTGATAAATATGTATTTTTTCATCAAAATTGAATATTTTAATGACATTGAAATTGACACTAGTTTCATAAGGTAATGAAAACTTGCTTGTTGTGTCACAAGAACATTGTTTACATTCAGTATCAGTGCCCTTGAGGACAAAGTGCCTACCCATCAGTCAGCTATTTGCCTACCTATTCGTGCGACACAAGGAAATATTTGATAGCAACAAAATATTATATTGCTGCTCATTAATTAGCATGATCAAAATCAAACAGGTAGCTTTGCAATTTTGTTATTGTTTCTGCTGGAGTTTTCCTTGGTATCATGGATAAACAACCCAGGCCAAACTTAATCCGCATTGGGTTCGCATGTGTGTGCATGCTCACATGGCAAATGATAATCCATGGCTTATTAGTACATAAATAATTGCAGTATGCATGGTAGGTGGTAGGTATGTCATGTATTTTGGCAAGGTATTAGGTGGTATGTATTTTGGCCCTGGAGCTGTTTCCTATTCATTGCAGCAATGCTGCCGGCATGGCTTATGTGTACCATGCGCACACAAGCTCCACCAATGTAAAAATGTCATTTTCACACAAAACTCATAATTGGAGGAAGGTAGAGCAGACCAAGAATAAGCGGGCATTTGCTGCAGTGTGGAAAAAGTCACTAGAGGCTTGATACTTTTTTTACATGCAGCAGCCTGGAGATGTCCACAGAGGCATGCCTGAGGATGTCCACAGAGGTGGATCCAGGCAATAGTTTTTACAATCTTCTCCCCTTGTGCCCGCTGTGTGTTGTGCTGACTGCTTGTCCCCCTTCTGGTGGTGCCTAGACTTGCCTCTGCATATCTCCCCAGGCTGCTGCATAATGTCTAAAAAAACCTCAAGCCTCTAGTGACTTTAATCACTCCAGTCTCTACAGCATATGCCCACTAATGCTACAGCTGCCTTAACAATACCAAAATTAGTAACAATGGTCTCATAACCATATTCAGTAGGAAATGAATTACCTAGAAAATTATATTAAAAAATACACTTGCTTTAAAAAAGAATGAGCACTGCCTTAAAATGTTAGGTGTGAAATAATGCTAGGTTTCTGAACCACAAATTCCAATTCTGTGTCACTGAATACTGATTGCCAATTGTGCAAGACAAAAAGCGTCAACAATGCTACATCAAGGATAATGATTTTAAGATAGTTCTCATTTTAGCCTGAAGTGTAAAAACCAAACCTAACCTGATTTGGGTATTTGGGTAAACCAAGCCTAACCTGATTTGGGTATTTGGGTAGTTTTTATGATGCTAAGCAATAGCCTATTCCAGGCTTCCTAATTTGCAGAGCTTTTGGTTAAAAAATGATTTTTAAAAATGTTTTTGAAGTATGTTCTGACATGTCCGCCCTCTGTGCCTGGCAGACAAGTCACAGCGTTACCTGATGAGTCAAGAGGTTCTGTACCTGATGTACCTGATCAAGAGTACCTGATGATTCTGCAACACCACCTGATGGCCAACTCGACGGCATTGCTGACCCGAAAAGGAGTCTAGCAGCTGAATGTTCAACTTCTGCCACTGCACTGTTGACTCTGCCTAGAGACAGCATCTGCACCACGGCCCACAGACGATCTTCCGTGGGACGGTGTGCTGCGCACCAGTCACCACACTGACGGCGTTCACCTGTGTGCTGCACAACTTTCTGTGAGGTCAGGAGATCGACACTGACGGCCCCGGACGGTGTGCTCTGTTTGCGCCGAGTGTGCTCCCTCGTGTCCGGGCCTTGATGCCAATACCGCACGCGAGGCGGCGCGCGTCCGCCAAGCCCTCACATACTGCGTCCAAGGTGCAGGTGGTGTTCGGTGACAGTGTGCAGCTTCTGCCGGCCCCGTGGACGGCACCGCGTGTGACCATGGCAATTGGCATGTGCATTCGATTTTCTGACATAAGTGCAGTGAATTCATTTGTCATTTTGCTTCTGAATGCTGTCGCCGCTCGGTAGGGTCGATTCTGCCAGAGTAAAGAGGTCGCCACGATCGGCGCCGGTGGGGCAATGAGCAAGGCACTCAGCAATCAGCTGCCGGGAGGTGGCGGCGGCGGCGGCGGCTGACGACTCGGGCCTCGAAAATCCTGTCTTGTGCGTTGCTGGCTA